ATATTTTCCTGCAGCATAAAGTATCCTATATGTTGGACCGAATAACCAGCTAGCATCATACCAAATTTCGTCAAAATCTGTCCAGTGGTTTTCTCGTGATGCGTTCACAGACAGAAAGACAGACAAACATTCTAAAAACTATAGATTCAGCCTCTATATCGATAATAATGACTATATCGATAAAATTTCCCAAAAATATTTAATGTACAGATTCGACTCAGTTAAAATTTTACTATACTTACGTATATATCGAAACTGATCTTTCAAGAGCCGTTCAAACTTAAATCAAGTACTTTATCTTAATTACAATACGGTGATCCTCAGAGATACTTCATAAAATTGGCCTTTTATTTCCAAAGTCCCTACAGTTTTATCGATTGTCCTTAAAGAAAGTAAGATCCGTCTCGGTTAACATCTGTTACAGTGAAGCAATTTTTCGCTTCCAAAATAAAATCTCGCGGGAACTACATAAATTCGATAGTATCCACATTGTCATTTGGGCCCTAAAGTTTCTAAGCCAATTGGGGAAAAACATATCGTTGATACGAGTACGTTATTTAATATTAGTAAGGAAGAAATAATACTTTAAATTTCTATGTAAAGACTGTTAATTCTGTCTTACGCGAATATTTTAAACATTTTGTAATATGCACGGTTAGCTCAAAAATCCATACTAATATTATAAATGTGAAAGTGTGTTTGTTTGTTTATTTCTTTGTCTTTCTTTCACGTCGAAACGGCTTGGCGTATTGGCGTGATTTTTTTGTGTGGAGATAGTTGAAGGGCTGGAAAGTGACATAGGCACATAGGAATGAGATAATCTCCCGCGATATTATTTTTCATTTTTTAGTTTCATCTGCTATAAAAGCGTGTTCTTTTAGTTTCTTAAATTATGCATTATCCTCTTTGGTCCTTGTCAAATTTTCAAAGTTTCAGTTCAATTTGAAGTTTTAAAGTAGGTAAAAATCACGTTCAATAATTCCGTTACATAGATAGATACAGGTCAACCTAATAAAAGCCTGTTAAAAAGAACAGAGTTCAATTAATATTAGGAAAATTGTTAAAATGAATAAAAAATGTTTCAACAGTAAATTAATATATACTTTAACATTTAAATAGCCTTTGATAATATTTCACAAAATCGTAACCCACTATTTATTCTGGGTTCTGTAACAGTATATCATGGGATGTTATTTTCACTTCTTTCTAATAAAATATTATAATAGAACAGTTTCCCTGAACAAATTTGTATTAGCTTATTACAATTACATTACATTCAAATAAGTGCCCGTAGAAAAATAATTTTACATTCGAAATGGTTTTAATGCTAACTTATAAAAATGAATACTAGTTATTTATACTTTGGAAATTTTTTTTAGCCGAGAGATACTGTAGAAAAATAACGTGTCTGTGTACTTATGTAAGAGCGTAAGAAGTTATACTTCTTTGGCGTAACAGAACAAAAATAGCTAACTAAAGATTTCATCCCGTATGTCACAACTCTCTGTTTGTAAAAGGAATGATAAATTAATAAAATAATTAAATAAGGCATATTAGGGATATTACATATTTTATAGAATATAATTTATGGAAAGAATATAATATTATATATTACTAGCGGCTCACTCTGGCTTCGCTCGGGTTCGCCTTTAGAAAAGCACAAGCAGATCATGAAATGATTAGAAAATGTCTTTTCCAAGATATTATCTATCCCCATTACGAATTTAACTAAAAAACGTTAAGCCATTATAATATTGTTAGATAGCAACAAATACATTCTCAACCTATCGCTTTTAGTGTAATAGGGGCGCAGTAACCCTTAATATCAGTCCCTTTTACACTTGGTCTGTTTTTTTTTTCTTTTATCTATACATATAATAAAATCTAACTGAGTCGAATCTGTACATTAAATATTTTTTGGAAAATCTCATTGAAATAGACATTATTATATTTTTAGAATTTTTGTCTGTCTGTCTGTTACCGCATCACGGAAAAACCACTGGAGGGACTTTGATGAAATTTGGTATAGTGGTAGCTGGTTATCTGGGTCAACATATAGGATACTCTTTACTCCGGGAAAATATCTCATCTTTGAGAAATCTATACTAAACGTTAAAACGTAACGCGAGGGTTAGTCGATAGTTTATTGATAAAAAAGTAATATGACAAATAATAAAATATTATATACGACTATGGTTTTCTTGCGGCTCCGCCCGCTTCGTCTGTTTTTATAGAAATTGTTCGCTCTTATCTTAGCATACATATCTTCTACAATAAATACACTAAAAAACGCAAAGGATTTTTCAAAACGGACAAGTAGTTCCAAAGATTTAATCGCGCACAAACAAATAAACTCTTCAACTTTATATTAATAGTATAAATATACATAAGTTTGACTCTATCAAATATTATCGTTTTTAAATGTAAAGCAAAAGTAATAAGAAATCTAACAATACGTATTATGTAGAGGGGTTATTTTTTACCTTTCCCATTATTCATGATATCCATCATAAAAACTCGTAACCAAATAAATAAGATACCCTAAATATGAACAAAACTGTTTTGTTATTCATACATTTTAGTTCAATTAGTATATTAGATTTATTTAACTCATAGCTCTATATTTCTTTAAGTTTATTTCATCATAATAAAATATAGCTCAGTAATATTTCAAAGACTTATAGATATATAAAGTAGAGAATTCATATCAAATACCAAGTGGAGTTTATACCTCAAGAAATATGCTCCAATTTGCGTAAGTGTTCTTAGTTTTTAAATAGGTACCTCTATGGAGTTGAACAGTTTTGCAGGTGTGCTACCTCATTTATTTTATTTAAATATTAGAAGGATATGTTTTATGGGAAATAATTTGGTTTGTTTAATTTGAATTTTGTATTTATTGCTTCAGACTAAGGAATATTATAGACAGAGTGTCATAGAACTCAACATATTTACAGGATACACGTTACTATAATAATTAAATAAATGTTAATTAATAAAAATAGGTTACGGATTTTATATCTATACATATAATAAAATTGTAATCAAGCCAAATCTGTACATTAAATATTTTTTGGAAAATCTTATTGAAATAAACATTATTATCGATACAGAGGCCAAATTTATGGTTTTTAGAATTTTTGTCTATCTGTCTGTCTGTTTGTGTGTCTGTTACCGCATCACGAGAAAACCACTGGACAGATTTTGATGAAATTTGGTAAAATCATAGCTGGTTATCCGGGTCAACATATAGGATACTTTTTACCGCTTGAAAATAACTCATTTCTGAGAAAAAATACAAAACCTGCATTGTAAGAGTATACTAAAATGTAAAACCTAAGAATTTGGTTTTTGGTCATGTGAACGCGGGCGGGGCCGGGGGCAATGCTAGTATTATTATAAAAAGCTATTCTCCCATATTTGCTATCGATATTGATAACCGTAATAAGCAGTCATTGTCACGCACTGAAATCATCTTAGGTGGTGTGGTGCGAGATATATTAAGAGATTAGATATTTCAAGTAAAATCTTAAATAAACCGTTTTATCTGGACATAATTCTATGTCTTCTACCTTTAGGAGTATTTTAATCTACATCTATACATATAATAAAATTCTGAGTCGAATCTGTACACTAAATATTTTTTGGAAAATCTTATTGAAATTTTTGTCTGTCTATCTCAGAGCGCATCACGAGAACGCCACTGGATAGATTTTGATGAAATTTGGTATGACGATAGCTGGTTATACGGGTCAATATATAGGATACTTTTTATCGCAGGAAAATATTTCATCTCTGAAAAATCTATACTAAACGTTAAAACGTACCTAGGAACGAACCCGAGCAAAGCAAGGGTGAGTCGCTAGTTAATATTATAAAGAGGAAAGATGTTTTATTTGTTTATTTGTTTGTAATTCTTAAAATCTTCAGCCTGACATACCATCTAAAAATGCTGGATGATTTCTAATATTGATTTAACACTAAATAAAACTCATAAATCGTTCTTAAATCACGATCTACTGCAAATTCCATTATATTTATTACTTTTGTATTCTCCATATATTTTATACATTTGGATAAACACAGTTTTATTACACTATTCATATAGTGGTTTATTGTACCACGTTAAAACAAAGCTTTTGTTCGTGGCTTACCTACTAGAAAATTCTTATTTCACGGTTTTCGGCATTGCGAAATGTAATGTAAGATAGCGCGAGAGGAATATTTGTTAATTAAGCTTTATAAAACTACGATAAAACTTTTGAATTTTACTTTTATGTCGGTTTTATTTCTCATATTGCTGCTATGAAATGGTTTGAAATGAAATGATATAGAGAGATAGAATGAGATAAGTTTTACAGTCTTTTTTTTGGCAGTGCAGATTTTTCATGAGTTCTTTTATAAATAATATCAATATCACATTTAAATATGAACTAATCTATCCCACGGAAACCTTACATTTTTCCGGGATAAACAGTAGCCTATGTGTTATTCTGATGTATGAGCTTTATTATTGTAGAGTTTCATTAAAATCCATTTAGTAGGTTTTGCGTGAAAGAGTAACAAACATCCATACATCCTCACAAACTTTCACATTTGTAATATTAGTATGGACTTTTTTGATTACAAAAACTTAATCTACGTGCAACAAAAGGAGATTTTGGTATTACTGTTCAAGTCATGTCCGCGTGGAATAGTAGAAAAAACGCTAATTTTATTCCCTCAAAATGCAGCCTTATATTATATATTTTTTTAAACGATTTAGTTCAAGATTTCATTCATTATAAAGAATAGGCAAATATAATCGAACACTTTCAGTAACCTTTGTATTAATATACAATACCTGCAGGGTTCACCGATTTCCAAGAAGAACCAAAGAGGGCGAAGGCCGAAGTATTCAATTGTAATTTTTTTTAATAAATACTACAAAGAAAAAATTGCACCTCTGATAGTGAAAAAAATGCTTTTAATTTGTAAACTTGGTGTATATTAATAAGTTAAAAATCGATATAATACACTAAATAACTAACCTCAGTTGTACTTTTCTTGCATTTATCTGTTCCGGCAAATATATTTAGTTGTGACGAGCCAGGTTTCAAGGGACACTGATCGATGTCAACGCGACGTAAATCGATGTCTATACCGCTGGTGCCTCTGAAAAGATAAAAAACAAATTAAAATTATATAATGAACACAAACACAAATATTACATAATGTACTATTATTTTTTATTTATTTTTGACGACATGATTGGCTCAGTTTGTAGTGACCCTAGTTGCTGTGCCAGCGGTCGCGGGTTCGAGTCCCGCTGGGGGCATTCATTTGTGTGATGAGCTCGAATGTTTGTACTCTAGTCATGGTTGTTTATATTAAAATATGTACGTATTTAAAATTTATATATGTGTAGCGTATCAACTATCTGGTATCCATAACACAAGCCTCGTAGCTTGCCATGGAACTAGATGGTGCTGTGTGTTAATGTCCCAACATTTTATTTTATTTATTTATATATATATATATATATATATATATATATATATATATATATGTAGGTATTTAAATTGCCATTTTTATTTCATTTGCAAATCCCCTACTTTGAATTTCCTATATTTATTTTAACTAGTGTTGCCTAGTGGACGACATTCAATTATAATCATTATTGATGAGGAAAACATAATACATGAAAGGTATTTACCTATCTATATATTTATATTATTATATTTTTTTATTAATAACACTAAAACTAGTTATTAGCTATAATATAAAAAAAAGAAAATCAGTTGAAAAACAGAAAAAAAAAGTTATTGAACTGTTTTGTCTTTGCCTATTACATAATATACATATTACATAGATTGTTTGTTCTTATCGTTTCAAATGCTTTACAACAACTAAGTTTTTGAACGTCTCAAAATCAAAATAAATCTGCAAAAAATCCGAAAGATAGACAATTTACTTCAAAATGTCAAATGTTCGCGTAAATCTAACAAATCATTAGTCGGACAAAATGTACAACTGATACCAAATTACGATAGTTGTTATTTTAATACGAAACAGATATAATTTGGTCGTTAATATCGAAACAGATGCAAAATAAATAAGGAGTAAGAATTTATGATAACTGTGCCGTTTCAGTTGCGGTGGAATTTGCATAATCTGTCAAGGAAACAGATCACCTAAATTTTGTTATACCGTTGTGAAAGTAATAAACTTAATTAAAACTTTATTGTACAAGTTGTTTTATATTCAATTTAAAGTTTAAAAATTATGATTTTCTGTGACACCTTTAAAGTACTACCAGCTAATAGTGAGAAAAACAAAATCGAATTTATACTTCAGCAACCAGTATATTTTTCTGGGGTAAGAAGTAGTCTATGTGTTATTTAAGACTATAATCTATTTCTGTGCCAAATTTCATCGAGATCGGTTCAGCCGTTCTGGCGTGCACAAGTAACAAACATCCATACTCCATACTCACAAACTGCTATACTTATACACATTTATAATATGATATCATAAAAGTAAAGAAAGGTGCGTTGTGTTATTTGTCGGCTAATCGGTAACGGACTTTAATTACAAGCTTTTATTTAGTTTCACTTGTCGCGGTCTGTGTATGGAATCTTGCAAGTTAAATTTGACCCACTTTCCAGTGTCCGATTGAGCTAAAATTTGGCACACTAGTTTGGTTTCCAATACATTGCACGATTACTTAAATGCCGCTATTTTTAATCCAATATGGCGGAATTTACAAAATGGCGAATTATAATTTCCACATTAAACCCCTAATATGGGTATCGAATGAAAGGGCTATAAGCGCTATAAGCGAAATACTATGAGTAAAGTGACGTCATACCTGTGTAGATAAGCGACGAGCTTTTATATAATATAAATTGTGCAATGTAATAAATTGTTAGGTTTGATTTAATTTAAAAACTTTAATCTTTATCTTCTTTTAGAGCATTTAAATAAAAGCTCGTTCTTAAAAATATACATTTACTATTAGTTTATTTAAAAAAATAGTTTTGTTTAATTTTTGATTCCCACGTTTCATATACTTAACAACCAATTACAAAATATTTTGTAAGGAAAGAGAAATAGCTGCCAAGTACTTTACATTTAAAAAAAAGTTTCATCGTGATTATAGACCATAGACCATTCGAATTGCAAGATGGTGAGTAATATTTGACGACTCGTTTGGCTCAGCTTGTAGTGACTCTACTTGCTGTGCCAGCGGTCGCGGGTTCGTGTCCCGCTGAGGACATTCATTTCATTCATTGCACGAATGTTTGTACTCCAGTCATGGGTGTTTATATTTATAATATGTATGTATTTACTGTTATATATGTGTAGTGTATCAACTATCTGGTATCCATAACACAAGCCTCGTAGCTTACCATGGAACTAGATGGTGCTGTGTGTTAATGTCCCAATTTAAAAAAACAAATCCACACCAGGTTGGTGAAAATAATAAGGATACCGATGCAATTTATCTGATAGTCTTGTGGGAAATTCCGCTACTTCGTCATAAACTTAAATATATCATGAGCAAGTATAAAAACTATTAAAACCCACATTTATTTCTCAACAAACCTCAAGAGAACTGATCCGCGGTTCATTATTCAAGAACTACAATCTGAATAACAATTTTAATTTTTCTAAGTGTTCTAAATAGCAAGAGGTTTTGCTTTTGTTGAGTAATATTGTATCCGGAATGTAAAATATAAGAGAGAAAGTTTCGTCTAGTTTTATTATTTTCATATTTTGAATGAAGTTGAAATAAAGCATGTCTGAGTTATTAAATGGATTCTAGAGAAGCAAGTTCAGAATCGATATTTCGACATTAAGAATTGTGTAATGTGTATTTAGTAAAAATGTGTTAATTATTTTTTACTAGCAAAACCCGCGGCTTCGCTCGCGTTAAAACCCAACCCGTACTTTATCCCTTTATGGGATGAATTACGAAAAATGCTAAAACACGTATTTCAAGTAATTCTGATCATAAATATTTTTTTTGGGTTGTATTATAACGTGTTTTCCCGTAGGAATGAGATATCATAAGGAGAATCACTCTCCAGCCCTACAACTATCTCCACACAAAAATCATCCCAATCTAACAATCCGTTTCGACGTGAAAGAAGGACAAACATACAAATAAACACACTTTCGCATTTATAAATTACTTATTTTAATATAAGAACCTGCGTGACCGAGTTTTGCTCAGCGTTATTTGGATTAAATATAAAAAAATCGCTTTTTTTTCAGAAAAAAAAACGCCTATGTATAGATAAACTTAAAAGCAAAACCTTGTCAAAATTTCATCCAAATCGTTAGAGCTATTTCCGAGATAGACGAAATAAATTTATATACATGTATGCAATATAAAAATAATAAGATGTAATTTCACATTACAATATTTTATTATAATTTTTTAAAACGATCGACGTATTTTTGTATATATATATATATATATATATATATATATATATATATATATATATATATATATATATATAGAATATAGGTGGTATTATTTTTTTAAGTACCTATAATGTGAGTAAAGCTAAGTTTAAAAATCACAGGCCAAATCACGAGAAAGAGCTAGTTCAAAATAATAATATCTTTAAGAGACTACTATAAAGAAAGAAAATAATAAAATAAACCTTATTCAGTGTGACTTGTTTTATGAAATGTAACGATGGAAATTTGTTACCGCATTTGTTTCTTTTCATAACATTCAACGGTTATTACTTACATTAGCATAGGAAAGTAATCAATGTATGTATCGGTCGTACTTATGTATATCTGTCTCGATGGTCTAGTGGATCACATTCGGAGGTTTGGGTTCGAGTCCCTGGTCGGCTAAAGTTTAGTTATTAAGTCTTATTGCTAATAAAGGGCCAGTAATAGCCCGGAGTTGGGAAGTTGGTGGTTTTTCGCCCCCGTGCCTCGAATAGCACGTAAAGCCGTCGGTCCTGCGCCTTAAAGCCCTATCCATACTATAGTGCCGGTCACGATTCGTTCTCGGTCCGATACCGGCTAGGTAAAGTATTTTTTTACACAAAAGAAAACAATGAGTGCATTTACACTATCAGTAAAATACAAGTACCGCTCGAGTAACACTCCAGCAACGTTTCTTGTATAAAAATACTTTACCAGACCGATATCCAGGCCCTAACTCTCACTGATCGTGTCTAATTATTATCGTCCCATTTAGATTGAAAGAAATAGAGAGTGCACTTGTGTCTGCGCGTACACTTGAGCACTATAATATCTCCTGCGCAGTTGGCTAGTCTCAATGAGATTGGCCGCCGTAGCCGGAATCGGAGGAGAATATAGTCATATTCATAATCATGTATAATTAGTTTTTGCTCGCGGCTTCACTGATTACAAAAAGTAAAAAGTATGAGTGAGAAACAGTATGTATTGATACAGTATAAGCTATTGCCTATCCAAACACTTAAATCCGCTGAGATGTTACAGCATAAATAACAAAAAAACAAACACACATTCATTCGCTCACAGACTTAAAATACATAAGTGCGATAGTGAACTGGTTTAAACAAACCTTGGGTTCGATTCCCTCAATTATTTCCTTTGCCAACAAATATTTCCGTTCGGCTAATTTTAAATATTATAAAGATAAAGAAATTTAGCTATAGATTTAAGATATGCAATATTATGCGTTTTAAGTATTAAATTAAGCGCATAAGTACATCGTTTTTGGAATTTCAACAATATTTACTTCGAAAGAAATAGAAGAATTGTGGATCTATGAGAAATCTATACATATAATAAAATCGTAACTAAATCATCTCGAAATAGATTTTGTTATCGATACAGAGGCAGAATTTATAGTTTTTAATTTTTTTTGTCTGTCTGTCTGTTACCGCATTACGGGAAAACCACTGGATAGATTCTGATGAGGTATCATGATAGCTGGTTATCCAGGTCAATATTTAGGATAATTTAACTGGGGGAAAATATCCAGAGATTTTCCAAAATATATTTAATGTACAGATTTGGCTTAGTTACAATTTTATTATATGTATAGATTTATTTCTTATTGCTGTAAATTTATTTAAAAAGTGAAATATTCGCGTAAATCTAAGAAATTATTACCAATAAGAAAACTGTTATTCTCAATAGAATGGCTTCTAGCAAACACTTAATTCAATTACGCTTTTGGTGAAGTCACTTGACAGCTTCCGTTCACGGTACTGGAAAACGTTATCAAAATTCCTGAGAAAACGAGATGAGATAGGACAATATACCACAAGTTACGAAGGAACCTTTGAGTATTTAATTAGATTAAGCCGTGGTTTTGTAACAGAAAATGTCATTTTGTGCAACTGAATATATAAACTTTTGGCTCAGTTTATATTGACCCTACTTGCTGTGTTAGCGGTTGCGGGTTCGATCCCCACTGGGGGCACTTTTTTGTGTGATGAGTACGAATGTTTGTACTCCAGTCATAGGTGTTTATATTTATAATGGGTTATATTCAAAGTTATATAAATGTAGTATATCACCTATAATATGGTATCCATAACACAAGCCTCGTAACTTACTATAGTATCATATGGTGCTGTGTATTTATTAATTATGATACGAAATTAAAAATAATAAGCAAAAGCTTAGGCTATAAGTTAAGCCGAAATATTATTTCTATTCTGTAATTTTTTTATAAAACACGACTCTATTACCGTATCCGCTATTGTACTCAAATACAATTGATGTAGTATATTCGCGGATTCAGCTGTCGAGATATAAAAGTTTTTACGAAATACTCAAACTCATTACAAATCACTAAAACTCTTCCTAACCTTTTCGCTTACAGCGGCTTACTTTATTAAGACTAGCCATTCATTCGGGAAAGTTAACATAGGGGGTAACACCGCCAATTTTCTTGAATGTTATTGAATACTAGCGACTCGCCCTCCCTCTGGACACGTTCGCCCCTAGGTACGTTTTAAATTTTAGTATAGATTTCTCAGACATGAGATATTTGCCCGCAGTAAAAAGTATCCTATATGTTTATCCGGATAACCAGCTATCATGAATACCAAATGAAGATACCAAATTTCATCAGAATTTGTCTAGTATTGTCTCGTATAAAATTCTAAAAACTATAGAATCGGCCTCTGTATTCTACTATTTCAATAAGATTTTCCAAAAAATATTTAATGTACAGATTGGACATAGAATTTTATTATATGTATAGTTTTCTTGATAGAATAATCCAATTGCTACAGGTAGGTACTTGGCCCAATTGGAATACACACACAGAATCTCAGGATTTTTAGCTCTACATAGGCCACTAGACCAATAAGGTAATTACAGAGAGTACAAATTATTTGATGATAAAATAATTTTGAAAAAAGGAAAGTTAATCAAAAAATAATTTGAAACTAATGAAATAGCAGACCAAAAAACGCAAACGTACAGCATTAGTGCCTGCTACATAAGAAGCTGGAGTAATAGAGTAAATATTGCCAAACTAAATTGATCAAAGAATTAAAATACTGTTGTACTATATATTTACATGGAACGAGAATTCGCCAATTATTATCTAACTGAAGTCTATAAACATCGGAATGAGTATTTCAAATCAAATCAATTCAAATTTTGATGAACATTTGCTATTTCAATTTATTTAGTAAATATTAATAGGCATTAGTTGTGGAGTTATCACTGATCAAAATTATTATTATATATATTTAATTTGTATATATTTAATTAAATATATTTAATTTCAATGCGTTTCCTTTATTGTAAATAAACTATCATCGATATTTTGGTGAGCAGGATGAAAAGGAGAAATATGAAGTCCTTCTGACCGGTTCTAGTCACGGTGACCAATCCCACAGATGCATGCCTGTCCCCTTGCCTACTGTGCAAGAGATGGTGTAGTGCATAAGTGTTCGCGCGCCGATCAAGAGCACTCACTATTCCTTTTCTTGCCTCAAATTCATCGGTGACATCAGGATCGACGGCTTTACATGCCCTCCGAGGCTCACGGATGTAACACCGCCAACTTCCTTACTCTGGGTTGCTAAGTAGGGAATTTTTTCAACAAAAAAACTTAATAACTAAATTTGGCTTGACCCAGAACTTGAATCTAGGACCTCCGGTTTCTCCGGTTCTGCGACCGTACATGCAAGCCACTAAACCTTATTGAGTTTATATAATAAGTCATAAAATTTTACAAAATCGTGCTAAAATAATCTGTTTGCATTAAATTTGGGGACTTACTTGAAGAAATACGTTCCATTACTGTAACCAAAGAAGGGAACAGTGTATGTAAGCATCCAAATATTGCCGCCTCCACAGTCGTAGTATGGCTTCGACCACTTCCCGTCTTCGTAGGTTACCGAAAGGATCTCATCAGGCTCTCGCTCAGTGTGGGTGGTATCGTTGTACGTGTAAGTGTTGTAACCTGTTTGAAAAAACATTATTATAAACCGAGTTTGAAAAATATAGTTAATTTATATGTACATACATGATACTTCACGATGTCTTCGAAACTGACTTCAACCCTCATTGACTTCGAAAATATCTGATTAGGTATCTATTCTAAATGTATAGTAATTTTTTACTCTTTGGTGCCTGGAAGTTATTTTAAGGTTTTTTTTGAAGTCCACCTCGCTGGTCAAGTGGGGAACTTCACATGTCTTTTAAAAACTTACTAGATTTTCTCAGACGTGCAAGTTTTTTCATGATATTTTCCTATACCGTAAGATAAGTTTTAATCATATTAGAAGTGATTCGAACATGGAAATATCAGAGGTGCGGAACCCGGGATTTGAACCCGCTTCACTCGGTTTCTAAACGAGCTCGTTACCACTGGGATATGATAATAGCTTATAACTATTTCCCATGACTTCACTATCATATTTTTATCCGTTTCGCACTTAGCATTAAAAAACAATAACTACTTTAAAAATAAACTTCATCTAATTAAAAAAAAAACATGAAACCGCTGACAAACACTAGTATACGAACATGATAAAGCGATCTAGCTAAGAATTCCTATATAACCCTTTAATTTACGACTTTCATTACAATTTACGCCTGTGGCTCACAATTTTCCACGTAATCACGAAGATTTCGCTATTATCGCCTCGACTCAACTTCGATTTCCGTTAATAACATCCCATTGAGCTCTGACACTCGCTCTATCTTGAGATTAAAAGCTGGTTCGTTTTGTTAAGTTTTTTTAAATTGCTTTCTCAGTATGATTTTAATCCATTAGATCGAGCATGTAATAAAATTGTCACAGAATCAAAGCTCTACGTGCAATATTTTTTTAAGTTTTATAGGAGTCTATATTATATCTATATGTCTGTTTGTTTATGACACGACTTTTGAATGATTGAATTACTAAAAAAATATCTAAAAACACAGAATTCCCCGCTTTGTCGCTTCTATCTGGTGCGGTTTTCACTCAAAGCCTTGCTATTGTTGATTCAGCGGAGGAATGCCCCTGGAATATTTGCTACAATTCCACATAGATAGGATTTGTATAGTAATTTATTGGTGTAAACTCATTATAAGTTTCGATTTATTTTCATAATAATCTAATTTAAAACTTGTTTCCTTAATAAGATTCAAAGAGCGAGCACGCGTTTCTACGATTTTATCAGAAACGGTAGTCATATGTAGTATAAATGAAATGAATATAATATCTACTAAATATTGAAAAGCGTGCAAAAATATAAATATCATTTAATGGAGAAATATAAAATAATTATTTGTTTGACTTTATTTATATAATAATACTCATATTGATTCCTCATACATACTTTCATCCCCATTTTTACCCCCTTAAGGGATGATTTCCGAAATAAAAATATCCTACGTCCTTCCCAGGATCTCAAACTATCTTCTTAGCATATTTTATTTAAATTGGTCTTGTAGTGTTTGAGTTAATTCGTTACAAACACACAAAAATACATTTGTATACATTTTTCCTCTTTATAAGAGTAGTGTATAAAACTATAATCTATACTAATATATTAATATTATAAAGAGGTAAAGTTTGTTAGTTTGTGAGATTGTGATAAGAACATAGGATACTTTTTATCCCAGAAATCACCCCTTAAGTGGGTGAAAAAGTGGATAAAAGTTTGTATGGGGAAGCAAGCTAGGGACGAAGCCGAGCGAAGCGAGGGTGAGTCGCTAGTAAAAGAGCTAGTAGAAGAACTTACTAGTCATGAATTACAAGTCAAAATTGATACGACTGAGATTATTAAAAAAAAGAATTATAAGATTATACTTTACTCATATTTTTAACTTGTTTACAAAATATAAAAGTCACTACATAGAACATACAAACTACTAAGTTTTTCATAGAAAATTTTTACAGTCGATGTTGACGTTGTTTGACGTGTTTTATTTATTTGATATCCAATGAATATTGTTTCCTATACAAATACTACAAACATGAATTCCATTATATTCCCGTCTCATTATATAATATTATAAATGCTAAAGTTTAGATGATTGTTAGATAGCACATAGGTTGCTTTTTATCCCGGAAAATGAGCTACTTCCGTGGGATAGATTTGTTTTTGCTTTTACTAATGACGAACCCGAACGAAGCGAGAGTGAGCCGCTAGCATTATTTTAAGAAGATGTCAAATTAAAACCCTATAGCCGCAGCGATTTGGTCTGGACTGGTGAAAACGTTAGAGGAAATAAAATTATATATTACTAGCATTGCCCGCGGCTCCGCTCGCGTTCAGGTGACCAAAAACCAAATTCTTAGGTTTTACATATTATTAGTATACCCTTACATTCCAGTTTTTGTATTTTTTCTCAGAAATGAGACATTTTGCCGCGGTAAAAGTATCCTATATGTTGACCCGGATAACCAGCTATCATCATACCAAATTTCATCAAAATCTATCCAGTGGTTTTCTTGTGATGCGGTAACAGACAGACAGACAGACTGACAAAAATTCTGGAAATTAAAGTCGGACTCTGTATCGATAATAATGTCTATATCAATTAGATTTCCCAAAAAATATTTAATGTACAGATTCGGCTTAGTTACAATTTTATTATATGTATAGAAGATGTACATTGTATGTAGGAGATAATATGATATTCCAAATCCGGATTAATCGTTTTATTCGGATTGGTTTGATTGTACTTCGGTGTTAATGGAATTCCGAGATGATTCCGTTCTAAAGCCTGTTAAGGATTTAGTGTTAATTGCTATGTAATATATCAAATGATGAAATTGTTGGATGAAATTTTGATATATTTACTAAATAATATATTAATATGCTGTTATCATATTACAAGCAGTGATAGCCCAGTGGTAATGCGCCTGCTTGGGAAACCGAAGCGGGTTCGAATCCCTGGTCTCGATCTGTATTATTTTCATATGCAAATCATTTCCAACATGATTACTTGTCTTACGGTGAAGGAAAACATCGTGAGGAAACCTGCTTGTCTGAGAGAAACTAGCAAGTTTTAAAAATACATATGAAGTACACCAGCCTCCACATTTTACTTTAATGTGCTATTATCATATTACTGTATTAAATTTTTTATTAACTTTAATATATTGAGAAACATATTCAATGCTCTTTGAAATCACTAAATTAGTATATCAATTTTAACCTTTTTTTTTAACTTTTGTTTTATAAGAAGTTATAATAGAATGTCTATGTTAATATATATTTAGTTTAATAATTCCAATACAGTAATATTTATTAACTCTTCATAACTTGAACGATACTTTAAAATGTAATTAAAAAGCTTATACTCACCACGTCTAAATTGATTGTGGTTTCGTATCACACGCTCAGCATTTTTGCGGGCAATGTAAAACCATTCTGAGGTGTTACTCAAATATTTGTACTCAACCGCCAAATCTTTTGCTAATATCGGCCCTTCTGGTAATCGATACGCAAAAGGACAGAACAGCTGATAGTCCTTATACTGGTACTGATCATAGCAATTTCCTGCTGCAAAAACGTCGTCATCGAATTCGACCATGGAAAAAACACTGGCATGTAATAAATATTCATTATGCATAACAGATGGGCCTGCGTACTTCCATAGTCTTGTCAACATATTTGCTCTATTTACCGCAACGTCTGCTTCCACTCTAAACCGCTCTTGAGCGTATCTATCTACAACACCCTCTCCTAAGTTTAAATGAGTCCCCGCAGTACAATTTTCGCCGAGTAAATGTTGAGTTTCTATTAATCTTAGGAATTTCGTGACAACGTCTTCATGTACCGGTCTAGTTATTGTTATATTTTCCATTTCATTTGTATCATTAACTATGCTGTCTTTAATAATCCTCTCTGGATTCGCTTCATCTGCTGACATCCGTTGTGTTTCATTATCATAACTATGCTCATTAATAAAATGATCTAACAAGGATATATCATCGTTATCTCTAGATATAGTATTTCCTGAATAATTTCCAAAATATTTCTGGAACATATCAGGCGTGGTTTCTTTATATCCGTCTTCATCTGGCGCGCCGTAAGGTCTGAGGGCTGACACGACCGGATCTTCCCCCGATTTGTCAATGCTTTCTGAAACAACGATAAATGTTTTATTTTTATTACCAACAACACTAACAATTTTATTCGCTAGGAGGCAAGCGTAAATTTTATCCTAGCTCAGAGAAAATTGGACGCTATTCAGTTCCGTTTAGAATTTAGGTTATCCAACAAATATATGTAAATCATATTTTACACTAACTTAATATATTCATGATAAAACGTATGCTAGCGTTGAAATCTTCCTGCCAAGAAATAAATATGAAATATTACTACTCTATGTTATAAAATATTGGAGTAAATGATAGATAGGCTTCGTCTTACGACATATAAAACTTCGTATAAGAAAACTTCAGATAAATAAGAAAAACTTGTAATACAAATGTGTTTTGCTGTAACAATATTTTGTCGTCGAATTTACTCCGACTAAGTCTAAGTACTCGTATTTGCCTAGTATTGTTTACTTTGCTTGAGATTATAGTCTTGGTTGAACGAGTATAATATAATACTTAAGTGGGTATGGCGTAACAGTATCTCTTTATTATTTATTAGCAAGTTACCCTGGCATCGCTTGGGTGCGTTCCTAGGTGCCTTTTGCATGTATAATATTGTATATAGATAGCGCGATCTTTCGGCAAATTACTTCTAACAGTGGTCTATGTGTTACTCTAGGTCTTAATTTATCTCCCCCCCAACGTGCGTTCACCTTGTCGTGGTGGGGGGGCTCAGTAGTAGTAGCGAAGCTAAGAAACGCATAGGGAGGTTGCCCACTTCGGTGGGAGGTGGCCCTCTTCGGGGGGCGGTGTACCTTGCGGGTTGCTCCTGGTACTTCTCTGATAGCAGAGTGGACCTTGGAGCAACCCCATGGTTGTGGTGGTCTGCTTTGGCAGACCTGCCGTCGGGGCGTCGTAGTTGAATGCGTAAACGATCCTCCGACGCCCCATTATGACGGGGGAAGGTTTTGTTGGGTTTTAGTGGGTAGTACTGGCTGTATTACGCCGGTGAGTCCCACACGTCGTGCGGAAATGCATTTCCCAACGTTAAAAAAAAAGGTCTTAATTTATCTATGTACTAAATTTTAGCGAAATCTATTCTACTGTTTCTACGTGAAATAGTAACGTAAATGTAACGTGTAGGTATATGACACACATACAAACATTTGTATTTATAAAAATAGGATCGTCTAATGGTTAGGGACCTACGTTCTAATAACTATACTTCAGTTTATTGCCAATGCAATAATAATGCAATTGTCTTTATAATATTATTATCATGGCCAATTAATTGTTATAACTGATAATAAGCTTAAAAAATAATAATTGAAGCGGATCATAAAAATTCATTGTCATCGGAATTTATCAATATCTAAAATTTCACCTCTGTAGAAAGAGGACGTAGTTCTAATGCAGCTTGCATAATTTGATCCATACAAATAAAATAACTAACAAACATTTCAAGTTAAATAAAACCTTTTAAAAATAGAAAGGTATATCAATATATTTTTAAAGTGCAAATTAAATAACACAAAGCAAGTGAATGACTAAAAAAATACAATACTTACAAGTAACCATACGGAACTATATGAAAGCCTAATAGTAATATACATGCAAAGACGTTTTAGCCATAAAGCGGATTCTCGGAGCGGGCTTGTAAAATCAGCTATCTCGCCCTGTAAAGGAGGATTTTGTTTATGAGAACAACAAATTGCGAGTTTCATTACCAGTCGAGACAATTGATGGCCCAGCATTATTTATTGAAAGCAATTTGAGTTCAGCCTATACAATCATTTTGCGAATAAAAAATGAAAATTTCATGGTACCTCTGACTTAGATAAATATACCTCTGACTTAGATACTATATCTAACTAGCGACTTCTACGCTGTAAGTGAAGCGAGGATGCCGTTAGTGGTAAATAAATATTATGCTTTTCTAAGAAATAGTTCTTTAAGCAATATATACTGAAAAAGGCAACAACAAAAAGATCAGTACGGTTTCTCCTCTGTTTGTCAACCGATTTTCTTTTTTTTATTTAGTAGCTATGGACGAGTTTAGTGTGGTAGTTGATTAATAAAAAAATTGGATACATTTAGTTTTTTTTTAATATAGATAAGTAAATTCTATATAATATATTTTTCTTCTCAATAATGATTATAGTCGAATTTTGACCAACAGGCGAACACTAGTTTTTAAGAAATGTTTATTTTTATTATATTTCGTTGTTGTCTCTGATATTTACTATTGAAAATATACGACATTATATACTAGTGACTTACGCTCGTTTCGTTCCGAGCCGTTCTTTATCCCTAAATGCCTAGCAATGCAAAAAAGGCAGTCGTAGCCTAGTGTACCCCAGTACTTGGGAAACCGAGCAAAGCGGGTTCAAATCCAGGGTTTCGGATCTATGATATTTTCATATGCAAATCATTTCCAACATGATTACCGCTTGTCTTACGAAGAAGGAAAACATCGTGAAGAAACCTGGATGTCTGAGGGAACTTTGTAAATTTTCGAAAAACATGTGTAGTCCGCCAACCCGCACTTGGCCAGCGTGGTAGACTATGGCCTGATCCCCTTCGTATGAAGGGAGGCTCGTGCCCAACAGTGGGACGTTAAAAAAGGCTGAACACACAAATGCCTAGCACTAGCGTACGTGTTACTTGCTTCTCCAGATTAATATCCATCCAGGTGTTTGAGCATGAATAAGCAACAAATATGCACTATATACACCTACAAACTCTTGCTATAATAATAATACTAGTTTGATTATTTTCAACTAGCGAGTAGCGACTCACCCTCGGGTTCGTCCCTAGCTTGATTTCCAATACAAACCATCATCCCCATTTTTACCCCTTTAAGAGATGATTTCCGGGATAAAAAGTATCCTATGTCCTTCCCAGGACCTCAAACTATCTACTTATCAAATTTTATCTAAATCGGCTCAGTAAATCTAGTGATTACAACCTCACAAATTCACAAACTTTACCTCTTTATAATATTAGTATAGATAAAAAGCAAAATATTCCTTTGTTTTTTTCACTTCCATTTTCTGGTTATCGATAGAGACTTGAACTAAAACTCTAAATGAAAACGCCTCTTATTTAAATTGATGATAGCTGATATAATAATGAGTAACTCAGGGTATTTTGATTTTAGAAAAAAAATAGGGTCCTATGAAAAAAATTAAAACCAATAAAACATTTAATAATATCCGATTCAAATAGGGAAGTTGTATACATACCCTAGGGACGATCCCGAGCGAAGCGAGGGTGAGTCGCTAGTATACTATATTATAGATAATTATTATATAACAATATTGTAAACAATTATTTATTATTTTAAAAGAGCAAATGTTGAATTTCTCGCCGCCTCTTTTCAGCAGCAATGCCTTCCGAGCCGGTGGTAGATTCCTTACAGACTGACTACACTAACATGTATTTAATTTAAATTTAAAATGTGAAATTGACGATTCAAAATTGCTTGTAAAAGTTTATTAGAATAAAGTATATTTTGATTTGATTTTATATAATTTACCCGCAGCTTTGTTCGTAAAGGACAATGCTTCCTCTTGTACTCGTATAGACCGGTGGCATCTTTTTTCTAACTAAACTTAGACCATATTTACAAGACATGATCTTCAGAAAAAGAAAACAACTTGCCAAACCGTAACGGACTAGAGATAAAGTGGTTGCTATTACTTTTTATCAGGCGTTATTTTTAAATATATACTACTTTATCCTACTCAATTTACGTAGAGCGACTCACCATCCCCCGTAATCATATATAAGTGTTACTGCTATATTTGGGTGGAGGATCTGAGTAATATATAGATCCATTTGTATGTCTTTATGACTATATACTTAGGTATTCTTTAAGATTGATATACTGTTTTCGTTTATTTTCTTCCTAAAAATTGCATATTCCTTTGTTTATATAATTTCGTTATTTGTCCAAAAGGGTCGTTGAGTGATGCCAGTAACTTCCCTCAATAAATATGCATTAGGTAATAAAAAAAAGATTTATTATACAAGCATTGCCCGCGACTCCCCCCGCGTTCAGATGACCAAAACGATTTTTTTTACATATTAGTATATTGCAGTTTTTGTATTTTTTCTCAGAAATTAGATATTTTCCCGCGGTATAATGTATCCTATATGTTATACGTTTGAAAGGTTAGTATATATTTTTCAAAGATGAAATATTTTCCTGCAATAAAAAGTATCCTATATATTGACCCGGATAACCAGCTATCACCATACCAAATTTCATCAAAATCCCTCCAGTGGTTTTTCCGTGATGCGGTAACAGACAAACAGACAAAAATTCTAAAAACTATAGATTCGGCCTCTGTATCGATAATAATGTCTATTTCGATAAGGTTTTCAAAAAATATTTAATGTACAGATTTGACTTAGTTAGAATTTTATTATATGTATAGATAGATATATAAACATCAATCTCGTTAAGTTCATATAAAAGTGCGGATTAAATTGTTTACTTTGTTTGCCGATTGGTCAAAATTCGACTATATATTTCTATTGATAACACTAAATCTCGTCAATAGCTACAAAACAAAAAAATCGGTTGACAAACAGAGGAGAGAAAGGTACTGAATTGTTTTTTCTATGTAATAAATATAGATAATATTGAACAGATTTTACTCAAACTTTACAATAAATATAGCTCATACATCAGAATAATACATAGGCTATTTTTTATCCCGGAAAAATGTACGGCTCCCGTGGGATAGATTTGTTATTATTTTTCTAGTGTGTAATGAAAGAGAGTTTCAGTGGTGGTTTGTAGTTTAGTGAAAGAATTTTTATGCATACTAACAAATAAATTATATAGCCCGTTCTAAAGCCTGGCTGCTGTACCCAGGGTATGAGAGATCTCCTCAGTAGTCAACGGCACAGATGCTACACAATGCACTTAAATAGAGCACTAACACCATGAAGTAAAAAAAAATTGGATAAAAAAAGTAATAAAAAAAACATGTATTTACGTATTTTAATGCGCTAAAAAGAAGAAAATAAACTTGTAAAAGCTTGCTTTCAAAAATGTTATTAAATTATTTTATTAAAATTTCTATCCTTCAGCGATTTTAGAATGACTTGTTATTTCAACCCTCTGGGGGCTTCATGGCTTGATTATTCACCGAGCGAGCGAAGCGTCTCTGCTTTAAGTTTGGCAAAATTTGCTTTCCTATGTCAGTTTGTTGGTACTTATGTACAGGTCGTATTTTACAACCGATCTGGACGATTTTTTTGAGGGGAACTTCCTCTAAAAAGGGGCAAAAAGGAGTCTACTGCATATCTTTGTCTTATGAGATCCGTTTTCGATGGTTCTTTTTTTGAAATGTAACTAACTTTGAATTGGTCTCATAAGAACTTAGTAGAAAGTCATCGAATCGAAGTATTATAATAAATTAACCAAGATTTTCAATCAAAAGTTAGCTATAGGTTTATTTAAAAAAATGTGTAGCTATTCTTGTTTTAATATTTCTGAAGATTAGAGTTCAAATTATATTTAACGTACAACGTACGTACGAGATTACTTATTTAACAGGTATGACGTCTTGAAAAGTAATACATTAGAATTAA